ACCTGTGCACCAGGCCTCTATCCCAGTGGTTGGCAAAGTCATTAGTCAACAGAGCCGAATATCAATAGTACAACGACTGAAATTTCTTTTGAGAACCAAATTTTTAAAACTTAAACTTCTTCTAATGCCACTTCTTCAAAATAGAGTCACCCAGGCTATGGTATTTTGTGGAAAAGCCACACTCAAGGGGCCAAAGAGTAGCATATTGCTTGCAAGCCGCAATTTGCCCACCATGGCTCTATCCTATCTAATAAAAGGGTAATATGCAAATTGACCATCACTCCAACGCACAAGATGGTCAAAGATGACTGCCCCCATGTGGACACAAAATGGCTGCCACAAGATGTCCAGCAGGGGAGGGCAGTTGGGAGGGACCAGGCCTGCAAGGGAGGGCAGTTGGGGGTGATCAAGCCTGCAGGGGAGGGCAGTTAGGGGTGACAAAGCTGGCAGAGGAAGGAAGTTGGGGGTGACCAGGCCTCCAGGGAAGGGCAATTGGGGAGGACCAGACCTGTGGGGGAAGGCTGTTAGGGGCAAACAGGCTGGCAGAGGAATGGTTAGGGGGTGATCAGGTTGGCAGGCAGAAGCAGTTAGGGGCAATCAGGAAGGCAGGCAGGCAAGCAGTTGAGAGCCAACAGTCCTGAATTGTGAGAGGGATGTCCGACTGCCTATTTAGGCCCGATCTTTCCTGGATCAGGCCTAAACGGGCAGTCAGACATCCCTCAAGAGGTCCCAGATTGGAGAGGGGCAGGCTAGGGTTGAGAGACACAATCCCCCCTTGTGCATGAATTTCATGCACCAGGCCTCTAGTAAATTAATAAATTACTTTAAATTTTAAAATAAACATCTGCAGAACAAATTATGCTCAGTTTTTAAATGCTCTAATTTGTCTTTTCAGCATATTTCAAGTTCAATGAGAAGAGCATGACACATAAGCAGGCTTCCTGCCGCTTTGAGAACATAAAAGGATTAAAGTGGATTGTGATGAAATTGTCTATCCCATTTGAAATGACAAGATTGTGGTTAATGTGAAATCACAATGTTCATTGACTTCTATGGGACACTTTATAAGTTCAAACTATTGGTCTCTCAGCAAAAGATAGGTGGTGTGGTGAAAACAGATCAACACTCCCTCTGTCATTGGATGAGGCAGAAAGTTCCAATATTCTCCTCCAAAGGACTTCTGAATTGTTTGGCTGGGATTGCAAAAATCATAGCCAGAGACCTGGCAGTAATTCAAAACAGCTTTGAGAAGGATTATACATTGGGACCAGGCTGAATTTTTTGAAAGATTGTTTCTTGATCCTGAGATAGGCCCAGTCACTTTAATCTAGTACCTATTTCTTAGTATTTGATTGTTGTAGTTGTTGCCACTTCATTATAAATGAGGAAGGCATTCAGTCATCCTGAATGAGAATATTTATATGTAAATAAGTGATGTTTTGCTTTGGCAATACCACTATTCCTGGGATTGAAGTGTATATGATTTCCAAGTGCTATAGGAGCCACAAAAAAAAAAAAAAAAGGAAATCATGATTTTAAAAGAACCAAAGACACTATGTATTTTGAATATTAATTTCTTCCTATTTTATGTCCAATATTTAGTACTCTAAAAGAAACATAGTAATTACAGCCTGCCTTACAAAAACAATTCCATATGTTCCTCCAAACCATTATTTTACAATGATCATTTTAAAAACTATATCATCATAGTTCACCCAGCATATCTTATTCACAATTTCATTGTTTTATTAAGTCGTTTTCTAAAGAACATGATAAACCCTATCTAATATTGCAAATTAATTCCAAGTCTAATCTTCTAACAACCTAACCAGAAGTGATAGTTAAAAGTGCCATGGAATCCTAGCAGGTGTAGTTCTACTGGTTGGATTGTCATCCTGCACAACAAAAGGTGTCAGGTTCGATTCCTGCTCAGGGTACATATTCAGATTTCTGGTGCAATCCCCAGTCAGGTTATGTGCAGGAGGCAGCCTTTTTTTTTTTTTTTTTTTTTTTTTTAAAGAACAGATTGTTTTTTTTAATATTTTTATTGATTTCTTACAGAGAAGAAGAGAGAGGGATAGAGAGTTAGAAACATCAATCAGCTGCCTCTTGCACACCCCCTACTGGAGATGTGCCCGCAACCAAGGACCCTGGTTGTGCCTGCAACCAAAACTGAACCTGGGACCCTTCAGTCCGCAGGCTGACACTCTATCCACTGAGCCAAACCAGTTTCAGCCCTACCGATATTACTCTCTCCCTCTCTCTCTCTCTCTCTCTCTCTCTCTCTCTCTCTCTCTCTACAAAAATCAATAAAGTATATTCTTTTAAAGTGGTATGGATAAGAATTATTAGTCTCCAATAAAAATTTATATTCAATTTCATTCCAAGAATTTCAAACCTCAAGGTCATCATGTTTGGTGTTCATTTAATTTATTTGAGTATTCATTTAGTGTTTTCTATGGAAGGAAAAAAAGAGGCCTAAGATTACTCTCAAAAAAGTTTTAAACCAATGGGATAGACAGATAAAGTTCTAAGAGGTGATTAACTTTAGCCTCCTAGTAATCCTGCAAACACCATCTTTGTCTCCTACTTGTATGTTGTTTAGACCTCAAGTTGATTTCAGATTTACTTTCAAGGGAAGCAAATATTTCAGATTTCCATAAAATACTTTCTCTTAAGAGTTGTCCCATGACAAATTCTGTTTTAAAAATTCTTAAAGTTTAAAACCACCATGAGATATCACCTTGTGCCTGTTACAATTTCCATCATCAAAAAGCCAAGAAATAACAAGTGCTGGCATGGATGTGGAGAAAAGGGAACCCTCTGCATTGCTGGTGGGACTGTAAACTGGCACAGACACTATGGAAAGCAGTGTGGAGGTTGCTCAAAATTAAAAACAGCCAAAACCGATTTGGTTCAGTGGATAGAGCGTCAGCCTGCGGACTGAAAGGTCCCAGGTTCGATTCCTGTCAAGGACATGTATCTTGGTTGCGGGCACATCCCCAATAGGGGGTGTGCAAGAGGCAGCTGATTGTTTCTAACTCTCTATCCCTCTCTCTTCCTCTCTGTAAAAAATTAAAAACAGAACTACCATATGGTCCAACACTCCAATTTCTGGGAATATACCCAAAGGGAATGAATATGTGAAATGCGATACAAATATGTATATATCATAACTTTTGTCTAATATATATGCATATATATATATATATATATATATATATATATATATATATATATGAATAGATCTCCCCACTAGATTGCTGGAGGATAAGGACCATACCTTTCCACCTATGGATATCCTGCACCAAGCCCCATGCTGAACACACAGAGGGCACTTTGAAGTTATTGAATTAATAAATATACAAATAAACCTATCAGAGCAATCGATAGGGAAAAGCTTTACTAACCCTGAAGCAACCAAAGGTAGCCCTGCTATTATTTAGGACTTAAAAATTTGTGGCATAAAGTTATTACTGACTATATATTCAAGTTTTGAAACTTTGTATCATTACCTATTCATCAATACCTATGACAATGCTAAAATAAAGTTAAAATAAATTGAGGCATATATTATATTATACTTAGAACAGAATGAAATGCCTCTTATAGACATAAACTACATAACCTGTAACAAATTATATACTGTCTTCAAACCTCAGTTTATTGATCTGCCAAATGGGGATAATAAATTAGCCTTACTTCATCAAAGGTTTAATCAGATTTTACATATATGACAATTTATTCTTGATAAATGAAAGTCCTAAATGATTATAATTACTACTAAATTTACTCCCTCAGATAATTAAAAACTAGTTACCAGTTATTGCATAATATATAAGACACATTAAGAAATTAGTTCAGTTGTGGAGCATATAATGGCCCATAATTCATTTGTTTATACAAATAAATGTAGCTAGAGATAACAAGATAATTACTTAATAGAACAAGTTAAAAAAAAAATAGTCTAGTTACCCAGTGGTAGAACTTGTCAGTATATTAAAAAAAAGAAAGAAAAAAGACAGCCCTAACCGGTTTGGCTCAGTGGATAGTGTGTCAGCCTGCGGACTGCAGGTTCCAGGCTCGATTCTGGTCAAGGGCATGTATGGTGGTTGTGGGCACATCCCCAGTAGGAAGTGTGTAAGAGGCAGCTGATAGATGTTTCTCTCTCATCAATGTTTCTAACTCTCTATCCCTCTTCTTTCCTCTCTGTAAAAAATCAATAAAATATATAATATTATATTTTTTTAAAAAAGACAACCTTTTGCATTACTTAATAGAGCTAAATACTCCCCCCCCTTTTTTTTCCCTAGGAAAAATGTAAAGTAAGGGAAAAATAAAGAGTAATACTAGTAGATAAATTTAATAAATGCTTGTGACGTTGCAAACATTTTGCTAAGTAATGTATTTCATTTCCTTTCATCCTCACAACTACCCTATGAGATGGAGACTCTTACCTAATTTTAGAGAAGAAACCAGTGATTAAGCTACTAGCCCAAGGTCATATCAGTAAGTGGTGGAGCTTATTCAAACCCAGGAATATTGTCTCTACTGCACTTTTGTCACTAAGAAATCAAAGAAGTGGGATAAAAGTCAAAATATGTAAATTATTTTCTCCATTGTTACAACCTGTTTTTTTATTTTCTGTCAAGAAAATTTTTGTGGTTTTATTGTATCATGAAGCATTGAAACATCTGAACAAATCAGTATATGGACGGTGAGGCAGCTGCTTTTTCCTTCACTTCTTTGAGTTACTAGTGCAACTTGCCAGTAGATTAAAAAGAAGGAAAAAAAAAAAACAACCTTTTGCATTACTTAAGTCTTTGCAAGGCATGTGCTGGTACAACACAAACTTCTGTCAGATATAACTACTCTAGCGTCCAAACATCATTCACAATACCTGGGTCCTGCTCGTTTGTGTATGGAGCTTCTGGATGAGTGGGATAGGACCTGGAAGAGGAGGGAGGAGGAAACAGCAGGAGTGCCTGGCTGGGAGGAGGTCAGCTGGAGTTGTGCAGGGCAAGCCTCCACATGTCATTGGTGCAAACCCAGCCATCGTTGATGTTCTTCAATAGGAACATCTGGTGGAACCCCATGATGGGGTCTTTATAGGCCTTAAGCTGGCCCACAACTGTGCTGAGAATGCAGCTATCTGGAGCGGGCTGGTGGATGCTGTCCTGTGCCATGATGCTGTACTGGATTTTCTGGAAGGGAAGGCTAGACAACTTCTCCACAGTGACAGCTTTCCTCTGGAATTGCTGTCCTACCTGCATGAGGCATGATACGTCAATGCAAACTGTGCCTAGTTGGGTTCTGTCGTTATCAGATACCTGGTGGTGATGTTGGATGAAGCTGGATCCAGTCTGCTCCCAGAGTGGTGTGTCTCCCATTCTGGAGCAGCACCCAGCCTCACTGAAACCCAAGGGACTGGCACGATGGCGGCGGCAGCAGCAGCAACCTGTCTGTTTTGGTTTTCATAGTTTGATCGGAATTGAGCTCCTAGAGCTGAGTTTTTGAGAGCTTTAGCTTTAGCATCCCCAAAAGTAACAACCTGAAAAAAATATTTAGATTTGAAGAAGCCTTTACAAGAATCACACATGTACCTGTTAACTAGTTTTGGATGTAAAATAACAATTTGGGGTGTTTCCTTAAACCATATGTTGTTTTCTCCTTAGGTATATATTAAAATTAATCTAATGTTTATCTATGTAATACCTGCAAATGATACAAAAAATTAAATACTATTAGAAGGCTCCCATGTCCACTAAATCCTGCAGCTCAAAGTAACTTTTCAATAATTAAGTACATATTTTCAAATTATAAATACATATTTTTATGTTACCTATTGATTTCTTATTATGGATAATATGAATAATGATTGAGCTATCTTATACTATCTCATCTCTCTTTCAAAAAAATACACATGTATCTTTCTCATTTACCAAAAATACTATATCAAAATTTTTACTTAGAGCATTAATTTTTTGTTGTTTACAACAGTTACATTCTTTAAAAAAAATTTTTTTTTTAATTAATTTCAGAGAGGGAGGAAGGAAGAGGGAGAGAGAATCAGAAACATTACTGATTAGAGAATCATTGATTGGCTGCCTCCTGCATGCCCCGAATGGGCATCGAGCCTGTAACCCAGGCCTATGTTCTAACCAGGAATCAAAATGTGATCTCCAGGTTCATCGGTCAACACGCAATCCCTGAGCCATGCCAACTGGGCAACAGTTATATTCTGATTATATTTCCCCTCTCACTAACCTTTTTGTTTTGCCAAAAGTTGTTAATTTCATTGATTTAACACTGGTTTATGTACTTCTGGCTATTTTTTCTCCAAATGCTATAACAAATTTGTCAAAAACTCATCATTTTCTAAAGGTTTATGGACATCAAATAAACCATTTCTTTTGAGTATTTTTTTTTTAAGTCCTCCCTCCAAAGTTTTTTTCAGTCATTATTTCTTGAAATAGGTTCTCAATTCCTTGTTCTTTCTCTTCTCCTTCAGGTACCCCTTATGATTCGGGTATTGGTACGCTTGATGTTGTCCCAGAAGTCCCTTAGGCTCTTCTCATTTTAAAAATTATTTTTTCATTTTGCTTCTCTGATTGGGTGTTTTCTGCCACCTTCTCTTCCAAATCTCTGATCCAGTCCTCTGCTTTATCTAGCCTAATGTTGATTACTTCTGGTGTATCCTTCATTTCAGATATTCTTCATTTCTGACTAGTTCTTTTTATGGTCTTTGTCCTTTTTTGTTTTTAGATTTTATTGATTTGTTTTTACAGAGAGGAAGGGAGAGGGATAGAGAGTTGGAAACATCAATGAGAGAGAAACATCAATTCATCTGCCTCCTGCACACTCTCTAGTGGGGATGTGCCCGCAACCAAGGTACATTTCTTTGACCAGAATTAAACCTGGGACCCTTCAGTCCATGCTGTATCCACACTCTAGCCCAAACTGGTTAGGTTCTCTGTCCTTTCTTATGGTTGCTTTTTCTTGGTTGAAGTTCTCACTAATTTCTTTGATCATCCTGTAACAATTGTTTTGAACTCTGAATCTGGTAGCTTGCTTACCTCCAATTCATTTAGTTATTTTTCTCCTCCCTTCCATAGCTTCTTGTTTCAATCTGGAATGGTTGCTCTCTCTAAACCAAGTACCTTCACTTCTTCTCTTTGATTGGATTGTTTCCTGGACTCTATGACTACTTGTTTCTTAGTTTACTTTCTGGTTCTACTTTGCTTTCCCACATTCTTTCATTATAATTTTGATAAGTTTTTGGCAAGAAGACAGAAAAGTATGTATGTTCAATCTGCTATATTTAACTACTAGTTTTCCAATCATATTTTCTTCAGAGACTACTTACATTGATGTAGCTTTTGACAGTAGAGTTGTCTTTATTTTAAAAACACACACAAGACATCATAATATAACTGCAACTTAAAATAATCAGCATCAGCAGTTAATATGTAACTGAATAGATTATGCATATAATTTGATCTTTATGTCTACCTGATAGTCAATTATATAACTTCCAGTGGCCTGCAGTTAGCTAAAATGAAGACAAAGTATTCCAAGCTACTTTTCAGAATCTGTGTAAGCATTTTAAATATGGTTGATTAAAAGCAAGCTCTAATCAACTTCACTCAAATACAATTATTTTCCCTCAACACATAAAGCTTGTGTTGCAATCAATGGCTGTTTCTTTTGCTCAAGAAATACGACAGAATCAATCTCATCATTACTAAGAGTAGCAAAATCAACTTCATCATTACTAAAAAAGAACTTAATGACATATGCACTCACAAAATAGTTACAATTTTACATTATATTTTTGATCAAAAAATTAAATAGGAAGTTAGACATTAAATATGACTAGCTACAGAGGTCAAAATTGAACACATCAAGATAAAGCGTACCATATTCCTCTGGAACTAGATGTATTACTGAATTTTGAAGTTTTCATAATTTAGAAAAGTTAATTTACTGTATATCATGTAATAACAGAAACTGATTCAGCATTCTATATGCCATAATATTTCTACATTAAAATGTATGAACATTAACACAAAATGGAAGCATAAAGACTGTAAGCAGCCTCACATTTATTCAAGTCAGGTTTTAGTGCCAATCTTACAAACTTCTCCATTTTCAAGCTGGATTGCAGATAAGAGATTGTGAACTATAATTACAGAAAAGATCAAATTATGATTACCTGTAGAATGTCTACCTAGAAAACCTCAGAGAATTAGCTAGAAAGTTACAGTAGGAAAGTCACTTAAAAAAAATAATGCAAAATGTAAGAATCACCAATACATGAGGAGACTTTTAGTTTTTGCAGGTAAAAGTTTGAGAGAAGACTCCCTATTAACTACTAGTGAAAAAATGTGAACTTAGGTCTTTTCCCTTAATAATAACATTAGGTTGAGTCTATTGTATAAAGAAAGGATGCTAAAATAGCTATTATTTAAGTAAATCTACTAACTGTTTCTAGATACACAGTATTACAGTAGGAAATAATAATGCCCTTTAAGAGTTTAAAAATCTCTGACAGCAATGGTGGCATTTAGTATAGGACACTGAAGTAACTAAATGAGAAAAGATATTCTCCACTACGGGGCTCTGAATCCTGTTTACTTTGCTCCCACTCAGGATTTCTGTTACCTACCCTACCTGCTTCTCTCCTGTGGATATTTGTTGAGGCCGTCACCCCTTACTGAAGACATGCAGGAAAGATCTGGAGAGGAACTGCTAAACTGTAAAATCTTGAGCACACTCAAAATAGTGCACCCTTGAGTCAATGGTTATTTAATCCCAGCTAAAGGTTAGTATCACTTCTCCAAAGTATGCTGGGGAACTTTCAAAATTCGAATGCCACATCCCAGACCAATGAAATCCATCTCTGACTGTTGGGGCCGGATAACAGGATTTCTGAGAACTTCTCAAGAGAATGTGAAAAGTACAGCCAGGGTTAAAAAATACTGAGACTCAAGAGAGAAGCCAAAGGATGTAATGGTCAAGTGTCAAGATTATGCATATTTAATTTCATGGCAGCTGAGCAAGGACTACCAGACAGCACCCTTAGAGATGCCTCATTACAATGCCTCCTGGGGATTTGGGTAGAACACCTAGTGGAGTACGTAAGGCATTTTTCTGATTATTTTTTTCTGCTATTGAACATTTAACTGTTTAAAATGGGAACAAAGCTGAAAGAAAAAAAATGGGCAAACCCAAGAATTACATGAAGCTCAAATTCTGTTGCAGACACAGCCAGATTTAGATTTCATGACTCTCATCTTGCTAAAATCTACTTTACAGTACTCATAGTTGACAGACTAATCTTCCAAATAACAAAAGGACTTCTAACCTCCCCCCTCCATTAATTAAAAAGAAAGAGTCTTCATTTTTTTTCTTATTTAGCTTTAATACCAACTATTCTGATCAACTTCTGTGTATTAATGTATTAGTATATGTAGAAAGCTTATAGTCCTGATTATTTATGCCATTAAGTTTCTGATGGGAAGCTGGCAAAATACTCTAAGATACAGAAAATAAACTTGAATTTCCAAATGGAAGCTATCATCAGAATTAATCTGTGTCTCTCATAATTTGTGTTTGGAGTATCTTCCTTAAAACTTGGTTTGCTGTTTGTTGGCTCTAAAGTTTGTTCGTACAGAACTGGTCAAACCCACCTGTGCAGCGACCTTAGAATTAGCACTTTTCCATCAGGATTATTGGGGTGATTAAAGATTAATTCAAACAAATGCACACTCAAAAGCCAGTGAAAAGAAAGCCCGAGTAAACTTTAATCTTGTCTCCACCAATTCCATCCAACTAAAAACTGCAGTTTAGCCAGAACCAACCCAAGTCACCAACCAACAGGTAAACCATTTGATTCTCTATATTCTAGTTCCTGGGACAGATCCACACCATTAATACCAAATTAATAGAATTTTCTACTTCCAAACACAAAAGTCTCTTTGCTACATGTCTTTTTTGGAAAGTCAAAAGCTTAGTCCTCATTTGGAGAGAAACCTAACCAGAACATTCCAACTGGATTCTCCTTTCCTCTTCCATTCACTCACTCCTGTCCGTGCAAATGCTCACATGAGCACGGTAGAACATAAATTATGGCTAACAGTTTGACACCATTGTTTTATTAACAAATGCAATTCATAGCAAAATAATTAAATAGGGGCACACAGTAAAATAAACATTCCAACGACCTTTTACATGGAAAAGTTCTGCTCTACACATAAAGGGAAGAACAATGCAATTACAAGATAGTGCTTGTACAGACTTGCTGAATATGTGATGAGGCCTTGACCAGCCAGCCACTTCTCATCTCTTCCATCCCAGAAAAAAGGTTGAAAAGAACAGGACAGCTGTA